TCCAGGGACGCGGGAAGACCATGGCGTCGGCCATGTCGCCGCCAGGTCACCGTTCCATGTCACGCCAGTGACCGACGCAGATGGTCGACCGCTGATGCTCCTGAGCGGCGCATGTGGTGTCGTGTTGGAGAAGGGGCATTCTAGGGAGACGCGAGGGGCTCAAGAGTGCTTTGTTCGACCTTTTTTGCATCACATGACGCATGCATTACATTACATCACAATGGTCGCCTTTTTATTAAGAGGAAGTTCCCTCCGTCTCTTTTGCTTTCTCACCAGCCTGGTTTTTCGCAGTACGTTTCACGTCAAATGCGAGTTTCCGAAGTGGAAATTGTCAAACGAGAAAGTGGCTTGTGATATAATGTCAGCAATCAGCGCTGTAACATTTGCTGACACCATTTATTTGGCCCTGCTACCTTTTGCTTTGTCCCTTTCCTCATCCTCAGACGTTTATTAAACAAATGGATGCGACTGATTATTTTAATAGCTGGAAAGAAAGGTTGCCTTTTCTCCAGCTTCCCGACACATGCAGCACAGTATCAAGATATTGCCGTCCCTTGCGACCACTTTCTCGTTTGGTACACTGTCACAACCTGCAAAGGTAGTGAGACGCGTGGAGATGGAGAGGGGGTGAAAGATACTCAATGCTTTCATGTCTTGTCTGATTACCGAACGGTGATAATGCACGCAATTAGTTTAAACATGCAGTGCACATAACTCACTCTTGTTGCCATTAATTGCTCTTAAGAGCGGTGTGTACAGTGACGGGTGATGTGTGCAGTGTGGACTAGTGTATAGTAAGGACTGGTGTGCAGTGTGGACTGGTGTGTGCAGCACGAACTGGTTTGTGCAGTGTGGACTGGTGTGTGCAGTGCGAACTGGTGTGTACAGTGTGGACTGGTGTGTGCTGTGCGAGCTGGTGTGTGCAGTGCGGACTGGTGTGTGCAGTGTGGACTGGTGTGTACAGTGCGAACTGGTGTGTACAGTGTGGACTGGTGTGTGCAGTGCGAACTGGTGTGTGCAGTGTGGACTGGTGCGTGCAGTGCGGAATGGTGTGTGCAGTGCGGACTGGTGTGTACAGTGAGGACTGGTGTGTGCAGTGTGGACTGGTGTGTGCAGTACGGACTGGTGTGTGAAGTAAGGACTGGTGTGTGCAGTGCGGGTTGGTGTGTGAAGTAAGGACTGGTGTGTGCAGTGTGGACTGCTGTGTGAAGTAAGGACTGGTGTGTGCAGTGCGGACTGGTGTGCGCAGTCCGGGCTGCCGTGCCCGTGAATGACTTGTGTGGGCGTGATGACACGTATTTGCAGATGTGATTCATGTGTACTGTGTACGGGTACGACGGTACGTACAGCAGCGGCTCGGGTATGCAATGAGAACGTGTGCGTGTAATGATATCCGGTAGATACGATGGTGCCGGTGTATTTAGTAAGGCCCGGTGTATGCAGTAACTCCCGATAAATTTCAGTGAGACATGGCGTACGCAGTAAGTTCTAATGCACATGCGCTGAGGACTGGTGAAGCCTCTTACCTGCAACGATATCTGTATATACAGCATCTCCGGTATATACAATAAAATCCGGTGGGTACAGTAAGGTCCGGTGTGTACAGCGCCCGTCCAGCACAAACGGTGATAGCTGATGTGTGCAGCATGGCAAGACTATACAGCGAGGTCTGTGTATCCAGCAAGGTCCGTTTTACATGCCCAGCAGATGGTGTCGGTGTGTGTCCAGCAGCCCACTTTGAGCAGGGTGCCACCGTATGCACCTCAGGGTGCGCTTTGTCCAGTGAGTCCTGATATAAGCGGTAACGCCTGGTGTGCACGATTGAGCACGCTGCCTGAGGAGCGACGCCCGGTGCATACGGTGACACCCTGCTAACGCAGTGGCGCCTGTGTGACCTGGAGTGCGTGCCTTCACACAGTGATGCCCGGTGTGCACGCCAGGACGCGGGATGAGGTGAAGCTGCTGCAGAGCGAGCTGCAGGCGAGCCAGCACCAGCTGGAGATGGAGCGGCTGGCGCACGGGCGCGCCGACCACCAGCTGGACTGGACTCGAGCCCAGCTGGCTGAGCGGCAGACGGCGCTGGAGGAGGGCCGCACCGCGCTGCGCAACCTCCATCAGTCCAGGTCAGGGCAACCAGCCGGACACCAGAGCCGGTCGCTGTCACATAGTGGCGCAGGCAGGGGAGGTAGCACAGGGACACGTGCCTCTTCTTGGGCCTACATTGTCCTACGGGCCATTTAGGACACGATTTAGATTATGGCATCGGCCAATTAAATGCATTGTAAATATAATGTAAGGGCCGATTTAAGGGCTTGTTCTGGGCCTGATTTAAGGGCCCAGGGCGTTGGCCAAAGAACGTATTAAGGGTTCCGGTCCGCAGGGCCGGGCCCTAAAATGCCAGTCTAAGGCCCTTTGCGCCGATTGGGGCTCTCCTGAGTCGATAAAGCCCTCTTTGGTAATCAGGCACCACCAGCACCAAATTATCGGCTGCGTCGGCTTAGGCCTGCGGGCCTGTTTATTTCTCATGCAGGAATAAGGCCGGAACCCGCGAATCACAATGGTCGGGCTCCTGAGTCAATGAGGGGCGCCCTGTGCTGGCCAGCAGCCCACAGTGCCTAGCAGGGATCCTTTATTGGTAATGGTCCCCGAGTCCGTCAGGCGAAGTGGTCGAGGGCGCCCGAAGAGGGCTCCAAGTGTCCCTCAGGACCAGCGATCAATTGCCCGATTTTATAGTGGAAGGGCCCAAAAGGCCTAAAGGTCACATTAAGGACACCGGCTCTATGAGCTGAGCTTCAAATGCCAGCCAGAGGGCCTCTTGCACCGAATGGGGACACGCTGAGACAATGCCGGCTTCTATTTCGGCCAAAGACCACCACCACCGAACAGTTGGCTCCGTGTCCGTGTGAACGCTGGGAGCCCACTGCCCAGGGCCGGAGCCCGCACTTTGCACTGCTCGGGGCCCCTGAAACACGAGGGACCCCTGTGTCGTTTCGGGGCCCGTAGTGGCTAACGGGTTCCTGTCTCGGAAGGGGATCCGAGTCGGCCAGAGAAGTATTCACTGAACCGGCAGAGGGACGGGACCCCGAATGTCAGAGAGGCTAATGCGTTGGTCGTGGCCCTCTAACAAAGAAAGGATAGATGTAAACCTATGGCGAGAGTCCACAATAAGATAACGGGAGGGCCCTGCGTTAGTGACGGGTCCCAGTATGGCGAGAGTCCACAATAAGATAGCGGGAGGGCCCTGCGTTAGTGACGGGTCCCAGTACCGAACGAGGGGCCTCCACCCTGTTTACCTATGGCGAGAGTCCACAATAAGATAGCGGGAGGGCCCTGCGTTAGTGACGGGTCCAGTATGGCGGGAGTCCACAATAAGATAACGGGAGGGGCCCTGCGTTAGTGACGGGTCCCAGTACCGAACGAGGGGCCTCCACCCTGTTTACCTGTGGCGAGAGTCCACAATAAGATAACGGGAGGGCCCTGCGTTAGTGACGGGTCCCAGTACCGAACGAGGGGCCTCCACCCTGTTTTCAGGCAAGGAGCCGTCAAACCCGACCTGGAGTCTCTTGGTCAATTAATTGGACCTCTTATGAATATACTTCAAACAATTAAATATCTTATGGCTTCAATAGGGTACCTGCGTCGACCTGGGGTCAAATGCCCGGGTCGGAGGGCCTACGGCGTCAGGCAGGGGCCAATGATTGATGTATCCCTCTATGGACTTCCATAGCGACCAGGGGACCCGGCGCCCTCCCGTGGCCAAAATGACAGCTGGCAGTCACTCCACGCTGGGACGGGATGGTACTGCAGCCCCTGACCGGGATCGGTAATATGCCCGCGTGTTCTTTCTACCTATGGGGGACCCCTTGACTGGAAAGGTAGGGGTCTCATAGGCTTTCAATCGAGTGGACCGAAAGGAAGTTTGAAATGATAAAAGATTTACCCTTGCTTGCCTGAAGATGTCCATCCTTTTCCAGAATCGACTAGTGTAGCAAATGACGTAAACAGTTTTGAGTCTGCGCGCTCGCAACATTAGGGGCGAGAACACCTATTGCCGGGTTTGCAGTTTCAGTACAACCGAACGGCATTGGCCGCTGCAGTTCAAACCAGGCGGCGGGTGTCGGGCGCGCGGGGACGACCGTCTGGAAATAATGCCACCGAAGGAAGACTTCCAAAATCAATTTGTGCTCTTTAAAGCTTTGAATGGGGCATATATTTTACTTGCATGCTGTTGAGAGCATACTCTGAATGGTTTAGCAGTTACAGCAACACGAAAAATAAAGCGTATAGCTTTACTCCTTCAGTTCCGACGCCAGATTCTAGCCCTAGTTCGGGGTGCTAAAACGCTAATCCGTTTCTAATATCGATCTAGAAATCGTATTGGCAAAGCATACGCCTGGGCTACCTTTTAAACGGCCAGGAATTTATTTCCTAAGCGTTTACAAGAGCGTCTTTGACATGCATCATCATTCTTGTCCGCTCACTGGCCGCTGTCTAGTGTTGGCCACGGGGCCGACGCCTCACAGTCGAGTGAGACTGCAACGACGGGCGTCGGGATTTTAATTTCGAAGGCTTGCGAGCGCGCGTATTCAAAACCATGTTTAACAGCGTACTTACTTGTCGTTGTTGAATGAAATTGGAAAATTCCCAGCCGAATATGGGATGGTTTTGTTGATACCAATCTTTGTCCGCGTTTCGATCTACAGCCTACGTTTACGGGTCTTCAATATCTGTACCACCCATACAAATTTAGCAAGGCCTCTGAGTGCTTTTGGCTTAGAAAGGGTTCACTGAAACATCGTCAAATGAAGTGCGGTGGTAGTTTTTTCCATGCATCCATTTCATGCTCAGTGTATCAGTTTACTGACTCCAAATTCAAATGCAATGATATCTTTTGGTAGCCTTCGGGCGTATGGTCTAGTTAAAGGACACGAAATAAACACAAAGAAGAAAATTGTGGCCCATCGAAATCAGATGGGCCAAATAGGGTTATTTTTGCACGGGGTCCATTCACCATAAGGAGGTCGTTTGGTAATTCTGTACCCCCCCCCCCCTTCCCGTTAGCAAGACTGGCTGCGCCCCTGATGTCACAGGTAAGACCTGCTAGTCTAGGAGTATGTTCTGGGTGCTAATCCAACAGCTCGGGACAACCATATGCCGTTGTGAAGTCGTGAAAATCTGTGGAGCTTGTGTTGCGGCTTCACGCAGGGACGGGCACTGGCCGTGCTGCCTCCTCTATCCCATACCAGATCTCACAAAACGCTGCGAGCTCAGGTCAAGAACACCGGCCATCGTTTATCACGTTTTTACCATTTCAAAGCATTCATAATGTGTGAGGGCAATATCAGATGCGTTGCGGTGTGAAGTACTTTCTATTCCGAGTAGCATTGGGTGAACGATCGAATTTGTTCGCAGGCGAATTTGGTGCCGCTTATTTGACTTTTGTTGCTTTGCTGGCACAAATAAGGTCTGCGGCTGACATTCCATTAAAACTAAATTACTTCCACCGATCTGTTTTCTCGGCTTTGCCCAACAGCACGTGGTCTGAAATGAGCTGGAAATTGTGTTTTCTGTGATCTCATCTACTATTTCATTGGCTTCATAAGTTGCGTCAACTGAAACATGACATAAAAACGATATCCTTTTGCATTCGATTATAAGATACTCGCACAAAACAAAACTTCATACATGCACATGAAACGTCATGTAACATTCATGCTACCACGCACGATCCTCATCAAGTCTGGACGGAGTGCCTTTTCATGTCTGAAGCAACGTAGTCTGATGGACATGGCATTTCGTTTGATTATGCGCGCGAGTTCAGTTGATTATTGAATAACAGCAGTCTGAATTGGTTTTGGCACCGTTGCTGAATGCCACTGTGCCACCGTGTTACTGCTCTAAACGTATGCCGAACTCATTTACTGTATTGAGACGTGTAAACGCATTAACGGCTGGTGAACTGAACGCTCATTTTCTGTACCGCACTTGACTTGGTTAGAATCCGTCGCCAGACGAGGTCGTGGTGGACCCCAACTCCCCAGGGCTGTCTTTCCAGAATCTCGTCATATTGTCAAATGGACGGCGCTGTCAACATGGGCATATATATAGTACATGGCGCATCCTTTGCACAGGTTTTGGGGAGTATCAATTCTGGTAAGTCATGTCGCTGAGCTATGGCGTCATTCCTAAAGACTTCCATCTCGTTTTAACGATAAAGTCGGTTTCGCCATTCGGCAGCAGTAAATTATGTCTTTGGACGTTTGGGTACGACATCAAGCTGATATCGGCATAGGTCATCACTGTAGGTCAATAACCTAAGCCACATCAATAGAGAAGTAAATACCCAAAGACACTGGCTGGTCTGACTGACTTTTTTCAAAGTGGTCTTAGATCAATTTTTGATACTTGTTTGCCCACGACATATTTGAGCCGCTATTTTGCTGAAAATCCCGTTCTCTGCTTCTTAAAGCTATCATTTGTCTGCTTTTTTTCACTGTCGTGGTTGGCCTAACCTTCAAGTCACGGGCTTATCTGATTGTATCAAACCAAACACAATTAGATTCTATAGTTGCTAGGCCATTGGCGGTTTTTATTCTGTGGCTGCATTTTGAGGCAGGATGGCGAAGAGTGCCTACCACCTCGCTCGATGCGCTGTTGCGAATAGCCGTCGCCCAGCGAGGCACAACGCAAGCCGCAATGGATCGACTAGCTCCAAATAATTCCTTATGCGTTGACTTTTCCCTGCATGAGCGTAATGCCCATTTCCGCGGCGCCTGTCCGTTGTGCCGTGCCGGCGCGCCACCGGCGCGCTCTGCTCCGTCTCGCCGTGCTCCCGCCGCACCGACACCTCCCGTGGGAGGGCGGACGCGATTCGGCCGGCGCCTCCGGCAGCGCGGGAGTGGTCGATGACGGTCCCGGGGGGCTTCGGGGACCTCAGCCGGGACGGATCGGGCCGGACCGCGCCTCATCAGAGCCGCCGGCGAGCCCGCTCGCGCGCAGTGACGGCTCGACGCCACTTGCCAGCGCGCACGGAGGTCGGGTGGGAAGTCAGGAGCGCGATGCGCGCGGGTGGGAACTAGCGAAAACGCCAGGTGTAATTTACGGCCCGTGAATAGCCGGCGTG